TGCCTGCATCCCGGGCTTCCACCTGGAAGCTGAAGTCTTTGAGCTGTTCGTAATCGAAGGAGCGCAGCGCGTACAAGTAACCATTCTCCGCGTTGATGGACACGTAAGTGAAGACGCTCATGCCCTGGATCTGACAGTCCAGAATAGAATAGGCAAGTTGGGCGTTGGCCCCCTCATCTCGATCGGTGGCGCTCACCGCGTAGATATAGGCGCCTGGCACGTTGTTCTCGGTCACATACACGTCGTAGACAGGCTGGCTGAAGCGCGGAGCATTATCGTTCACGTCTGACACCTGTACCTGTATGGACTTGCTGGTGGCCAGTGCGGGCTCGCCGCGATCCCGGGCTACCACTGTCAGAGTGTATGAGTCTCCTGCCTCCCGGTCCAGCGGGGTCTCGGTCACGATAGTGTAGTAGTTCTTAAAGGAGGACTTGAGACGGAATGGCACGTCACCCAGAAGCTCACACTGCACCTGCCCGTTCTCCTCAGAATCTCGGTCAGTCACACTGAACAGGGCGACCACAGTGCCGGGCGCCGCGCCCTCACTCACAGCTTCCTTGACTGTACTGAAGCTGATCTCGGGTGCGTTGTCATTGGCGTCCAGCACCCGAACAAGTACCTTGCAGTGTGCCGGCACGGCGTTGGGCCCCAAGTCCTTAGCTTGCACATACACCTGATAGACTGGACTCTCCTCATAGTCCAGCTCCCCGCTTACCTCCAGGCGGCCTGTACGCGGAGACAAACCGAAGAGTTCCCGCGCCCTCGGTGAGATGTGGCTGCTGAATGAGTACACCACCTCACCGTTCGGGCCCTCATCTGGGTCCGTGGCGTTGAGCTGAATGACCAGAGTACCTGGGGGCGAGTTTTCGGGCAGGGACACAGTGTAAACGGGTTGGTCGAAGGAGGGCACGTTGTCGTTGGAGTCCAGCACACGGATAGTGAGCAGGGCCGTGCCCGTGCGCTGTTGCTGAGGGGGTGAGCCCCCTCCTCCGGTGCCTCCTGCCCCTCCTCCTTCTCCTCCACCTCCCCCGTCCACAGCGGTCAGCACGTAGCGGTGCACCGCCTGCTGCTCCCGGTCCAGCGGTTTCTCCAGTACTAGCTCCGCGAAGCGGTTGCCATCGCCCTGGGTCTGGACATCAAGAGAAAAGTAGCTGTTGGGGGTGATCTCGTAGTCGCGCAGGGAGTTGGTGCCCACGTCTGGGTCGAAGGCGCTCTCCAGCGGGAAGCGGGTGCCCGGTGTGGCGCTCTCTGAGATCTCCACAGTCAGGTCAGGCTCTGGGAAGGCTGGTGGGTTGTCATTTATGTCCAACACTTCTATCTCCACCCGGAATAGCTCCAGCGGGTTCTCCAGGAAGACCTCCAGGTGCAGGACGCACGAAGGGCTCTGCTTACAGATCTGTTCGCGGTCGATCTTCTCGTTCACGTACAGCACCCCGGTCTCCAGGTTAAGGTCCAAGTAAGGGGTCCTCGAATTGGGGACCGTCTGGAAACGGCGAGCCGAAAGTTTTGTAATGTCCAAGCCCAGATCTTCGGCGATATTGCCCACGAACGTGCCATGCTCCTGCTCTTCCTGCACGGTGTAGTGCAGCTGGCCAAGGACTCCCTCCACCATCCAGAGCAAGGCAAAGAATAATAGCACAATCATCTCCAACGGGGGGGGGGGGAAGAAAGGTTTCTGTGCAGCCAACAGCCCCCCAAACACCCCACCCCCCAGCAAAATCCTCCAAAAAATACGAATAAAAGTGCACTACGTGGCAGGACTGCCGGAGCTGGGGTGTCTTGGAAAGATTTAGTATTCCTTTTGCTTCATATTAGGGTTCTACCCCCACCATACAGCCTCTCCTTTTTCGCGCTTGGCACACGAAGGAAGGCAGACGTCCCCGCTCCTCATCTGTAATCTTACCACTGGCCAATTAATAAGATAATGATAATACAGTATTTCAGCTTCTTTTATTTATTCTGATAGTCTTGGCGCAAGGCAGTGCAGGCAAATCCCAAGGAGGAAATTTTGATATTTCAAGACTGTCCTCGGTTTGTCTTCCTGCTTACGGAAGGAGGAGGAGAAGGAAGAAGAGGAGGAGAAGGAGGAGAAGGAAAAGCAGAACAAGGAAGAAAAAGAGAAGGAACAGAAGGGAGAGATGCCGCTGGAGCCGTTGAACATGCCTCTTAATTTAAAAAAATAATAATAATAATAATAATAATAATAATAATAATAAACCACTGGTAAAAAGCACAAGAAAAAAAAAAACGTTTGCAACCAGAGAGATCTTATGTAGAAAAAAGCACCAATGCTTTGCAGTCAAACTTTCATTCCCTTCGGTTTTCTGGTTGAATTTTTCTTCTTAGATATTTCTCTCCCGTTGTTTTTTCATTTAGGAGCATTTCCAGTTTTCTTCTGCTCTGACTTCAGCCTTGCTTTTTAAAAATATAGTGAGCAATTTCTTGCCTGCCGTTTCTTCCTAACCTCTTTCTCTCTCGCTGTTTTCTCTTTCTCTCTCTCTCTCTCTCTCTCTCTCTCTCTCTCTCTCTCTCTAACCTATCTCTCTCTTCTCTGCTTTCCCTCTTCAGTCTTAGATGCAGCTTCTGGGATCTCTGCTGGCAGTTTCTGAGCTCTGAGCGCTCAGCTTCTCTGTTTTTGCGCAGCGCCCTCCATCTGCCAACCAATTGCCGAACAGCAACACCCACTGGGGTGGGAGCTGATTGGATAGACCGGACGTCAAGCAGGGCGCGTCATGAGGCAACCAGGCGGGGAGGAGGAGGCGAGCTTGGTTCCAGAGCAGGTCTGGAAATGTGTGTGTGTGAGTGTGAGAGCGAGAATAACCCTGCAGATCCCGAAGCGCTTGCTAGGGGAATCTCTGCTTCGGAAACTTAATATTCCCTTGCTGCAGAGAGTGGATAGGGAATAGAGGTTCCCCTATTTGCATCAGCAGCACTAATGCATCATAACAAAAACAGCAGTATTCTTTCCTTGGAGAGGTGTTTCCTAGGATGCTAACTGCGCCTCCCCCCTTCCCATTTTGTATCTCCTTCCATGACATAGAAATAGTTGTTTTCAGCTCAAGGCAAAAGAAGAAAAAAAGTTGCAGTGAATTGTCTGACTTAGTTTAGTACAGTCTCGTGATTGAGGACAGCTATTGGAAATAATAAAAATGCAAATAATTTTGCTGCCAGGGATGCGCCTGCTCTCAGATGAAGTAGGTGGGTTTGCACAAGAGGTCGAACGGGGATCCAGCGGAAGGGCTGGGGTGCAAGGTACTGGGGAGGGTTCTGGGAAGCCCAGAGGCTCCCGCCAAACCATTTGTGCTGACAGCCTCTGTCTCTCATCTGTTTTAAAGATAATCGCTACTTGCATAAAATGATGCTGCCAGAATGGATTAACTTTCCTCCGCACCTGGAATGAAAGCGAGCCCTCTGATAAATGACTGAACAGTAGTGATACTGTATCTCTCCTCTACAGCTCTCCATCTTTGCTGAAATGCTCTTTTTTAGCTTCCTATGCCCAGTACATCAAGGCTCAGTGAATCACCTAAGATATCCCTACGCCTCACGTGGCGTAGTACAGCTACTCGAAAGGCGGAGGGAAAGGAAAGAGAGAGAAACGGTCAGAACTATAGCTTTTTTTTTTCTGCTTTAGAAGGGAGAGAGTCGCCTTCGCCGCCCCCCCACCCCCACCCCTGCAACCAAGGTGAACCGAACTGGGATATCGATGATTTCAGCACCATGCAGTAAACCTTGCGTTGAAAATTCCACCTTGCACTAGCAAAAAACGACAGCCAATGCGGCAGGAGCGGGGAGCTCTGATTATAGAAATATAAACACAAGCCGCATAGCTCGTGTACTTCTGCGATATTAGTAAAAGGGGTGTGTGTGTGTGTGTGTGGTGTGTGTGTGTGTTTAAGATTCTGTCAATCTAGAGGGTTTGGTAAGTGGAGGTTTCTACGCTAGCAAGTGCCTTTGGACAGCCCCATATACACTTCTCTAGTCCATACTGTACCACCATAGCATTCTGTACCTCGGTGATGTAAAGTTAAAATAGTGCGCCTAGGTCCCTAAACTCTTCATTCCTTAAAGAAACACTTGAAGAAACTCTTCAAAGAAAAAGGATTGTCAGAGCTCTTTACAGAAAAGGTGTCGTTTGTAACTATTATTTGGTTCCCATATGCGCTTTAAAAGCCCTGCCTCTCTTCATTTTCCAGAAGATAAGATTTCAGAGTAGAACAAGATCCAAAAAAAAATTGCTACACCATATAGTCAAAAAGGCATGTCCCTTACCGAGAAAAGCAAAGCGTCTGGGGACGGATATTTAAATCACATTTGCTACTAGGGGCTAAGGACACTTCATTTCTCCCCCACTTTCTTTTTAAAAGATTATGCACTTGCACTCCCTTATGAAGTATGTATCTCCTGCATTTCCTCTAGTCCTTCTTCCTACCTCTTTTTCATGGGAATAGTTCTCGTCTTTAAGCAGTTTACAAGAATGAGATGCCAGGGGGGAAATGGCTAATCCTTTTCCAGCTGCAGTAAATTTAAGACGGTACCAGAGCCCGGCAGTAACCGCAGCAGCTGAAATGTTTCAGAGCCACGTCTGAGGCTGAGAAAGGAGCTACAGTTTATAAGAGGACCTGTGGATCGATGAAAAGGCGATTATGGTGTGTCTGAATATTAATAGTTATTGGATCGCCCCTCTCACTCTCCTACATACACAACACACACACACACACACACACACACACACACACACACACGATTTAAAAAAATGAGATCCTATAGCTGAGTCATCAGATCCGGTAGCATTTTCCCTCTTTTGACAATCCGTGTGTACATCCACGTAGAGAAGGACGTGTCTGCGTGTTTGTGTGTGGCTGTCTGTGTGCGCGCGCGCATGAGTGTGTGCGTGTGTGTGTGTGTGTGAGAAAGAGAGAGAGAGAGAGAGAGAGAGAGAGAGAGAGAGAGAGGAGAGAGAGAGAGAGAGGAGAGAGAGAGATGCGTCTGAATGGCAATGCAGGTTGACGGGGGAAAGGGTTTCTTCCCAAAAATGCAAACCAAGTTCCCATGGACTGAGTCCTCCCCCAAAACATACAGAGGTGGAGATGAATTCGAGGCGAGATAGGCAGATCTGGCTGTAAATAATCACTGCATCCACTTAAGCTGCCTTCCTCTGCTCTCTCCTCCCGCCCCCCACTCCCGCCTAAACCAGATGTAGCTGAACGGGAATCCTCTTCGCAAATATGGGTTACAAGCGTCTCCTAGCGGCCATAGGAGCTCAGTGCATGCAGGTTGCTGCTCGCAGGAGTCCTGAAAGATAAGACCCTTCTTTACAGCCTCTGCTTCTTTCTCTTGATTTTCAAGACCTATGAAGAGGATCATCCAGCCATTTGAGAAAGAAAATTGGCGATACGCTTTCGGAAGAAGTCTCTCTGTGACCCCAAGTCTCCACTGCTTTTCTCCGGCCGGAGCCGAACCACTGCACGGTGGGTGTTTTCGGAAGAGGCGGCAGTGAGGACTTAAGGGGTCCCTAGATCCCCTTCCTCTCCTCCCCTCTTTTCCCCTCACCTTCAACCTTCCCTTTCCCCGTCTCCACCTAGGCACATCCCGCTTTTCCGCTTTGGCTAGTGTCCTTGATGCTGACCCATAGTCCAGATGTGAGGGCTGTGCTGCTGATGGAACCTGCCCTTGCCCCCTTGCCTGAACTCCTAAATCTCTGCCCCCTAACTAAACCTGGTGCTTTTTGCATTTTGGGGTGCATTTTTTCAGTGCCTAGTAGAAGGTCAATTGTTTATTTATTGTCTCCCTGCTGAGCTGTTTGCATTGCCTTCCCATCCCCAGCCTCGAACTCTGCCACACAACACCTCCACCGACTGCAGTAAGGTACTACACTAAGCGGTGTGGCTGAGGCGCGCTTTGTAGTGGCTGAAGAACTAGATTAGCAATGCTTTTCCTGGGGAGCTCAAATGATGGTGGAGTTGAGATCTAGGGGCGGGGGAGGAACGGGAGAGCTCGGGTCTGGTGTGTGTCTGCTCCCAGCGATCATTTGAGTCTAACGGTAAAAGTGCCCACTGCCTGAGACAGAGGGTAAGGAATCTTGGAGCTGGGGCAGCGAGGTTTTTTGTTTTGTTTTGTGTTTTGTTTTGTTTTTGTTTTTGTTTTAAATCATTGCAAGGATACAGTATTTATCGAAAGCTATTTTTTTCATCCAGACAGTCTTTTATTGCACTTTCTAATTGCTGTAACAAAGGTGGAAGAACAACTGGAATGCAACAAATGTTTATTTGAGATATATTGCCTCAAACTTCTCTACCAGACTGTGGGATTTCTGTGCTCCCAGCCATTTTGAGCTGGAGGGGGAAATGAGGGAGCAGCTAGTTAACCTACTAGAGGACATATGAACGAGTATTTGCTGTAATGTAACGCGATTTGAAAGCAATTTGCTTCTAAATCCTTTTATTATTGCGTTGTGTTCAGAGCTTTGAGGGAGGAATTGTAATTGAATGAACATATGTATATATATATATATATATGTGTGTGTGTGTGGATGTGTGTGTGTGGATGTGTGTGTGTGTACACATATAGATACACACATATACATATACTTACATACATAGTGCATATATTTATGTATGTATTTATATAAAGTCTGAATGTGACTATTAACAGTCCTTCAAACGTCAAACTTACCCAGCCACTGGGAAAGGTGATCCCAGGCATTTATCTTGAAAGGCAGGCACAGAGAGAAGAGCCAACCCCAAGGATATTTAAACTGCATTTCATCAGGGCAGGATACCAAGGGGAAGCATGAAATATGCTTATTTTTAGGAGTGAAACATAACTAAGAGGGAAGCACTGTCCTGCTGGGCCACTGCCACAGATAATGTATATGGATCTTGCATATCCAAGATGCACCATCAAATTTTCACAGGAGTTTCTGTAACTGAGTAAAGCAGGGTAATTTCACCTGGTTCAAATGGCTATTTTAATTGCTGCTTTGTGTTGCATTAAAATCACCCGAGAACCGTTTAGTTGGTATTCTTAGAGAGCAGGATATGTGATGTTGCTTCAGGGGGGTGGAACTACATTATCTAAACCTTGCAAGGAGGAATCCACATCTCCATTTTGTGGAAACTGCATGCCAGGATAGAGCTTCCCAGCATTCTGCCCTTTCAGTCATCCGACAGGGCCAACATTTTGTTAAACTCTAAACAGTGAATTAAAAGCACTGACGACTTGGAGCTGCCCTCTAATGCAAAATGACAAATTGTACTTAGACGATACATGCACAAGAAATGATTTATAGATTTTTCATGATGGTCTGAGCAAATGAAGGCACTATGAATTATACATCCTAATGCTCACTGTATCATTTTCTAATAATACCATTTCGGCTGGGTTGCTGGTACACTGTACTCTTCAATAGGAGGTATTGATTAATAAGAAGTCCATGACTATCTATAAATTGGGTATTTGTTTATTTATTTATTTGTCTATTATTTTACTTGTTTGTTAGTTTGTGGTGCTGGGCTCAGATATGGATTTCTCTTTTTGGTCTACTACCTTTCTCTTCTCTACCTCTTTCTTCCTTTTTCCCATTCCTCCTAGGCTACTTAGGAAAATGATCCCTGTCCACACAGCCTATCTTCATGTAGCAGTTACTTTATAAATGAAGACTAATCTCTAGGACATATGCATTTTAATTCAGACTATCCTTCAGAAATGCAAATGCCTAAATTCAGAATGTGCTGTTTCTCCACCCCCCACCCCCCATGTATCAGGACTTCCCTCATCTACCAGTAAAACACATTAGCCTGCCTTACCTAGCTGGCTATCCTTATTCTGGCCATAATTAGAAATCCAGACTTCTCTAAAATTGCCTGTTGTCTTTTAGTGTTGTTATCATAACATCATAGATTTAGAACTGGGAGGGACCTCAGAAGCCATCTAATGCTTTGTTCTTTTATTATTTTAAGAAACATTCTTGTTATTCACTCACATACATTCCTAAAAGTGTTGCAGATCCCCACACCTCAGACAGTGAGACATTCAGCAACCTTACTTGGTTCACATGATGAATGATCTTTCAGAGTTTCTGAAATGGATGGTGGGAGTATCAATCACAGAAAGAGTGCAATATGATACTTGGGTGTTAAGGTACATTCGAACAAGCATTGGCTCTGGAGGCAAGAGACCTTGGTTCAAATGTAGCCTCTGATGTTTACTACTTGTGTGACCTTGGGCACTTAACCTTTCCCTTGGCCCCAGTTTCCTCATTTGTTAAATTCTGTGAATACAGAGGGAGGTCTAACTATTTACAACTCTAAATCTATGACCTTTTGATGTAAGAGAAATAAGGTACCATCCTTTGTCATACAGAATACTTTGGTGAAATAGGTCCCCTGAATTTCCCCTTCAGAAGGCCTGTTTAAGAGGTTATTTCTTGGTCCTTACCATTTTAAACAGTTAACAGTTTCACTATTTTAAAGAAAATCTTAATCTGGAAACTTCTTATCCTGAGATCTCCAGAGTCACATTATTTGGCTTACTTTTAATTATCCAGGTTTACAAACATACACTTTCATATACATAAGAACGAGCTCTCAACTCAATCCCACATTTGGCAGCATTAAAAAGCATTGTTACTGAAAGATTACTGAAATCAACGCTGTGATTAGGATTGTAAAGAACTATAAAACATCGCCATTTACAAAGGAGAAAGCCAACTCCTTTACTAACAGGGAGATGTGTGGGTTTTACCAATGGAGCCCTGAGGCAGAAAATCCAGCTTCAAATATCCAGGTCGATACAGAACAATCTCTGAAATTAATTGCAAGGCCTGATGAAGTTTATTTGTGTGCCAGGGAAGCTTCCCGGATAGGTCTCTTTGCTCCTCCCCCATGAGGTTTCTTCTTATTTGTCAGGGATAGAAAACGAGGGCAGCCCTCATGTTTGGTCTAGTTGGAAAGCATAAATTGCTTGTTTCTCTAAGGGGCTGCCCCTCCATTTGACTAATACAGCAGGAGAGTTAGCAAGTCCTGGCTCAGGGCAGAAGTTAGACAGATGTACTCAGAAGGGCTTCCAAATAATATTGTCAGCCAATAATGGTGGCACTTGTAATCTTGGTAAGACTCTGGAGGTTTCTGGTGTAACGGATAGAGTGCTAGACTTGTAGTCATGAAGACCTGGTTTCATAATTTTACCTCCAACACTCACTAGCTGTGAGTAAGCTCCTTAAGGAGACATTTCAATATTGTGTGTGTGTGTGTATTTCCTCCTATTTTTGTATGCACAGTGGCTAACTTTTTTTTTTTTTGCCTAAACAGTCTTAGAGATATGCTTGGTACACTGAGTGGTTAAAGTATCTTTCTTGTCCAGGGTCACACAGCCAGTATGTATTGAAGGTTGACTTTGAACTCATGATGTCTTTATTTAGGTCAGCCATCTCTCTACTATGCTCTGCTGTCATGTGTATAGCTGATGCTTGATAATATATATCCACTGAATTGAATTGGCTATGATAAGTCTTTTCTTGACTTAGCCTTTCTTAACATCACCTGTAAAATGGAAACAAAATCTCCTTCACAGGCATATGAGACACAAATGAGAAAATGTATGCAGAGTGCTTTGCCAATATAAACAGCAGCATTTAGTTTTAGGAAACATCATCACTCATAGTTTAAAAACAGCTTGATGGAGGGCTTTCCACTCCCCATCATTAAAGAATTCAAAGGCAGCTTTTCCCAGCTGCTTCATAAGGAATTTAGATCTTTCTATTGTATTGCATGGTTGGCTTAACTCTGCATAGAGGGAATCATTCCTTTCAATGTGTTTTCTTAGCATGATGACTTACAAGTGATATTTTCGAAGACAATTTATCTTAGTTTCATTTTATTTAAGAACTTCTTGGATTTAATTTGGTGGATTAACCAAATGTAATTAATGATTACAGAATTTAGACCTTTTCCATGTTTCATTACAGGCTAGGTTTATACAAGTGGGCAGCACTAGTTTACCCTAGTGACAATTGGTTGGTTGATCTCTGGGACATGGGGAAATTGGTGAGGGTTTTCACTAGATTTCATAAGTTCTTTGCATAAGTGAAATTATATACGGACATTTTCTTCCCTTGCAGGACCTTATCCTAAGGAAAATATATTTTGATGAATGGAAATGGCAATAAATGGAAAGAACAGAACCTAAAGGAAAATATCTCTGCTTCTTTGATGATGGATGGACATCATAATGATGGGGTTACTGAACCTAGCCAATTAGTTCAACAGTGATTAAAAGGGTTTAAAAAAAATAAGTAAACTGATCTTACAACTTTTAAAAATAAGATACACTTTTCTTTCCCTATTCATGTAAGTTTTTGAATTGAGCCTTAGTTTAAAATGGAAACAGTAGCACTTTATCATTCTTCATATAATGGCTTTTATTGTCTTCACTTCCATTTAGCCTGAAATTGAGAGATTGAGTACTTGTGTGGTGGCTTGTATTCTTAAAAAAAGTGAATGATTAAATTTGCATGACACTCATGTCAGCAGAAAAAAAAGAAGGCAAACACAAATCAGAAGAAAATTGATGAGAAATAACCAAAGATTGGACATGGAAAGCTGATTGTGGCTTTGTGGTAGTTCAGCGTAAGTATGATTCTTTACATTTTACAGTTAAGAGAATGTTAACATTGCTTGAAAAAAATCTTTTATTAATCCTTTTCTTTTCTCCACTTTCATTTCTGAATATTATCTCTTCCACCTCAACCACAGAATTAGAATCTTCTTTTGTAGCAAAGAAAAGCATAGCAACATATTGTTTTAAACAAAAACAAGCAACATACTGATCCTGCTGCTAATGTATGAAATACTTGACCCTTGGGCTGCTTCACCTTCGAGCTAAAGGGTGAGAATTTCTCATTCCTTACTGGTTTAACATTCTTGTTAAAAGGTTACATAGGAAAGCAAATTTCCTAAGTTCCTTGAGACTTTTTTTCCTGTCATTTGCTTTTCTTTGTTGGAACAATCCATATTCATCAACAGCATTTATTAAGCATGGAACACTGCTCCAATTACTTTAATACTTCACTGATTATGGAATCTCATCAATGTGTATGTTCCACCTAAAGATTAGTTTGTAATCTTTTAGAATCTTTTGCGTTAAAAAAAGAAAAACATGCAATCTTGTTGGGAAAAAAGACATCTGTAATGATTAATATATAAAACTAGACTCTAGTCTACTTTCCATTCTATATAAGCTAACCAGGTCCTTTTAGAAGATCAGCTTTCTATTATGATAATAAACTTATCAAAATATGCTTTGTTTTTCTTTCAGGTGATGTTTCTTTCTGCTATTTGGATGAACCATATCTATAAATCTTCCTTAATGGTTAAAGAAAAAAGATATGTTTTGTATGATTTTGGTAAAATTCCTAATTATTTAGAAATATGGAAAGATAGAACCAAGGTAGAGCTCATTTAAAGATGAATGTGAACTTAAAGATCACCTAACTAAATTTCTTCATTTTACAGATGACAAAAGTCAGGCCCAGAAATGAAAAGTGAATTGTCTAGGGTTACACAGGTAAGTCAGTATCAAAGTTGATAAGAATCCCCTATCTTTTGGCTCCTCTACAAGGTTTTTCTCATTTTACCACACTGTCTTTTCTCTCTATAGCTCAGACTTGAACTAGATGAACTCTACATTCTATACAGATTGAAAATTAGATTATTTTTAACTTTTAATATGTATGTAATATGTAATCATATACATATATTTAATAAAGGACATGGATTTTAACATTTACCCCATATACATATATATATTTAATAAATGACATGGATTGATAGAAAAGAGGAAAATATGGAGCATTACATATACAGAAATAATAATGTGTAGAGGACTAAGCAACTTGCTGCAGAGACTAAAGGAAAAAGTGAATTGTATTTGAGTTCAAGTCAAATCAAGCCAACAAGCCTTTATTAAGTCCTATCTATGTTCCTGGTATTGTGCTAAGTGCTGGGTATACAAAGAAAGAAAAAAAAGTTCACAACCTAGTGGAGTAGACACCATACAAAAAACCACATACAAACAAGATATATATATATACACATATATATGTATATATATATATATGTATATACATACATACATACATATATGATAAATTGGAGATAATCTCAGAGGAAAGGCAGTAGCATTAAGGGGATCTTAGGAAAGGTTACTTGCAGAAGATGAGATTTTAGCTGAGACTTGAAGTAAGCCAGAAGGGAGAAGCAAGGATGGGGTTCTTTATTCCTAGTTCCTGAAATTCCTAGTATCAGCTCGGCTATGATTTTTATGATAGGATTTTACCCCCCCCCTGCAGAATAGGAGCATTTTTTCTGGGATTTATGTTCAGTTTTCATAAAGAAAACTGGGAGCATTTATCTTTGTTTGGACTGAAGGCCAATGTTAAATCATAGAATTAAATAGAGCCCCACATTCCTGTTCATTTGGATATTTCTGTGTAAACTTGGCTAGCTGAAGTTTAAGTAAATCAATCTTATATGTGAGATAGGATCTTTTTTTGAAGTTTTTTTTTCTATAATCAGAAGTTAGTTCTGAAATGCCTTCCCATAAAAGTAATTTATATGATTTTTGAATCTTTATAAAGTGTCTAGACATTGCATAACTCTCTCTCTCTCTCTCTCTCTCTCTCTCTCTCTCTCTCTCTCTCTCTGTATATATATATATGTATATATATACATGTATATATGTGTGTGTGTGTATATATGTATATATGTGTGTGTGTATATATACATGTATATATATTTTAGTCAATTGGGATTAAGTGACTTGCCTAGGGTCACACAGCTTCAGTAAGTGTCAAGTGTTTGGTCTGAGGCCACATTTGAACTCAGATCTTCCTGACTTCAGGACCGGTGCTCTATTCTCTACGCAACCTCACTGCCCCCATAACTATATTTTTAAACAAATATTAAGACTAATTTCAAAAAGTTTAGGAATATCTTTCTTTCAAGTTTGTGCTCATTGCTACAAATTCTTCAGTGTCCTGTGTTGGGAACTTGCCTGTTCAGCATCCCTTGATATCATGTGTAATCATTTGATACCAAGTTGTCCTTTGATTCTTGAAATGAGTGACAATACTTATTTAACATCTCTATCTCTACTTTTGAATGAAGAGTAAGTCTCAGTAAAATCCCCTTGTTTCAGGCTGATAAGATAAGGACAGTTATGTGTTTATGGATAAGGCAGGATTCCCTTGATTTAAAATGTATTCCTTCTTCGGAAAAGAGATTCCACCTCCACTGATGCTCAGAGATGGTAGAGTTTGGAATGTAGAAAGTAAGATGTTCCTCCAGTCCTCATGAAGAAAAAGCTGAACGAACCTAGATGCTAAAAAAAAGGAACATATTTAAGCATGGACTATTTAATTTGATTCAAAATAATAAGCAGAGCTTAAAAAAAAGATTTTCTAAATATTTTCTCCCTTAGTCATTCTCTTGCATTCCTTATAGAAGAGCTGAATTCTCTGTCTCTTTCTCTCTGTCTCCACCCTACCATCCTTTTCTCTTCTGAAGTATTAGAGGATAGAACTGTTGTGAGGATTCTTGATACCTTCTCCGTGAACACTGTTCTGTTAGGCAGAGGAGCAGCAAAGGGAGTGATCAGAGGCCTGCTTTTCTGAGCTGAGAAGTGAAATGACCTTGGTAAGGTAAGCCCAACTGGGCCCATGGGAAGTGTGGTACCTATTCTACTTTCTAAAATAACATGTGTCTCCTTTATTAGGATAATTGTTAAGAATTCTAACATCATTATTTCAGAGTCACTGTTGATAGCGCTATATTTTTGTCCTAGGCTAGCAATTTCTCTGGAGAGTCTGTGACTTTGATGATCCCTTTAATATGTCCCTTTGTGGCTGATACTCTTCCAAACCAACTAGCTAGGGATAGCAGTGTAATCTGTAGCTATGTCAAAGCCTTACTGTACTCCCAGCTTCCCCATCTCTGTTGGAGAAGCAACATAACATAGTACTTAGGAAAACTGGAGCTAGGAAAGCCTCAGTACAGATCCTCTCTCTGAAGCTTACTAGTTAGCTATATGACCTTGGACTCTTTGAACCTTTATGTTTATCTGTAAAGTGGGAATCATGTAAGGCTCAAATGACACGTAAGTAAAAAAGGCATTCCACAAACTTCAAAGTGTTATATGTCTATTAGTATTGTTTCTGTGAAACCCATTCTTCCAGTCATCCAAACTATTCCTCAATCATTCTTTTTTTTTTTTTTTTTGGTGAGGCAGTTTGGAGTAAGTGACTTGCCCAGGGTCACATAGCGAGTGTCTGAGGTCAGATTTGAACAGAGGTCCTTCTGACTCCAATGCTGGAGCTCTATCCACTGCTACACCTGTAGCTGCCCCTATCCTCACTCATTCTTGACTTTTCCTTAAACCCCATAACTACTCAGTTCCTGAGACCTGTGGGTTATACTTTCAGAATTCTCTCTTATCCTTTTTCTTCATATATACCTTTCTTCCTAACAGAGCCCTACATCATTTCCCTGTTTCTTGTCTTTCCCTTCCATCCTTCACATGCCTGCCACATCAATTTGCCTACTGCACTGATCTGGTATTTGCTTGCTCAGAAATCTTTCCTTGACCATTAGCTTTACTTTCAAGGCCTTCTACAATCAGATTTAAACTTGCCTTTTAAACTTTATTTTAATTAATCCCTTGACAAACATTTATTAAACACCATGTGCTAGGTGCTGGGATACAAAACTAAAGCGTTTTTTGCTTAAGATAGTTATTCATTTAAGCTGATTTGAAAAATTAAGTGAAGTGGGAAAACAAATCCATGATCTCAGCCTGTAAATATATGGAAATATAAATGATTTCACACCTGCATACCTTTGCCATTCCATGCCTAGAAGTCGCTCCCTTCTCCCTCTGACTCATAGAATCCCTATTGTAATTCAAAACTAAGCTCATATGCCACTTCCTACAAGAAGCCTTTCCTGATCCCTCTAGCAGTTAACATTTTTATCTGGTTATATGTCTTTTTCTCCTTTCTCCCCTGTGTAATATATTATAAATTACAATTGACAGTTATAGTGTGCTTTTAAAGGTAGGAAAAATGAATTTCATGCATTATCTCATTTGAGCCTGACAAAAATAAGAAATGATCAACATCACCACCACCATTGTTGAGTTGTTATTGTTAAATTTTATTATTGTTATTAATTATTCCCATTTTATATAAAAGGAAATTGAGACTCAGGGAGGTTAAATTACTTGTCCATGGTCACACAACTAGTCAGAGTGAAAGGAAGGATATGAACCCAATTTTTCCTAACTATAACTCCAGTGGAGTTAGCTGTGATGCCTTGTGGCATGGAGGATGAAGTAGCAGTTACCTATGGTGTCATAGTCTTAGTTGAAATACAATAACTAAAGAATATAGAAAATGAAGACTTTCAAAATAATATGATACCAATAGTGTTGAACAGTGTATTTTACTATTTCCTCAGTGGAATTTTTATTTTGTTAAGCTGGAGTTAGTGAAATTGATCCTTATATCTGTCTGGTACATGTGCTGTATTTGTGCGTGTGTGTGTGTGTGTGTGTGTGTATGTGTGTGTATATACATATACATGTGTGTATATATATATACACACACACACACATGCATTTGTTATATACATGTGTGTATGCATGTATTTTAACAAGTGGGGGGCTGAAACTATAGCTATATTATGTATTAGCAGATAGAAGGAGATAGTTTGCTACCTAATTTAAGAACTTTATTCTCTGTCACCACCACTCTATTCTCCTTCTAACCTTTTAAATTTGTATTTAAGAATTTTTAAATTTATTTCCCCTAAAAAGAGGGGCATTAAATGAATGAATGAATGGATGGATGGATATATTTATGATAGGAAAAGTTGTTGGTGAAGTATTATTAAGGAATAGGATCTGTTTAGTGTTCATATTTAGTAAACCCTTATGAACTTTTGATTTAGGTAGGTTATAGCTGATATAAAATAGTGTGGAGACACTGCACATCTTGAAAGATGCTGTGGATTCATGCTAGTTTCTCCTTCATATACTCATTCTCATTTTAAGCATTAATCTTCTTTCAAATATTCCATGATTTCTAAATAGCACAAAATGTGAAATTTTCTGATATTAAATCAAAGATGGTATATCATTTTAACATCCTGGGAAATTTACAAGTAGCATCCCTATTCTCTAAAGCCATAATACCCAATTTGAAAGCATTACATTTAAGGGAATTATGCCTAAAGATTATGTATATAATGAAGAGAAAGTCATATTCTTATGCATATAAGCACACATTATAGGAACCAAAAATTCATAAAAAGAAACAACACTGCATACTTCCTAATTGGATTTTTCAGGATTACCAGAGCCCTTGGGTGGCATCTGAAATGTTCTAGAAGGTAAATGGATAATATAAATCAGCAAAGCATGGCATATACACATACCTGAAGAATCAAGAAAAGGTTAAGAAAAGGTGACTCTTCATAGTACAGCATACATTAGGTAAGCAGTAATTACCT